CAAAAGTAATGGAGAGTATAGTAAACAAGCAGCTCGTGAATTATCTAGAGCATTTCAACATTCTGCCCGACAGTCAATATGGCTTTTGGCAAGGAAGAGGCACGTGCGACATCCTCACTGCTTTGCACACTGAGTGGGTCAAGACTGTCAGCGATGGAGGGTACGCTCACATGGTGGCGGTGGACATAGCAGGAGCATTCGATCGGGTATCACACTCTGGACTGATTTTCAAAGCCAAGAACGTTGGCATTGGCGGCTGCCTGCTGCACTGGCTGCAGGATTACCTCCTCAACCGCGAACTATCAGTCCTGGTCCACGGTGAATCATCCTCCCCGGCGCCCATAACAGCAGGTGTGCCCCAAGGCAGTATCCTTGGCCCGACACTTTTCCTCTTGTATGTGTCTGACCTGGATCAGTGCTTGTCTCCCGAGACACGACTAAGTTCATTTGCAGACGACACAACCCTCTACAGCCTCATCCGCACGCAGGACAATATGAATGACATGACTGCCGCCTTGCAATCCAGCCTCAAACGTCTTGAAGAGTGGGGAGAACGCTGGCGCATCAGATTCGAGCCCTCTAAATCGCAACAGCTGCTGATGACTACGAAAGCCACACACCCAGCTGTCCCTGACATCAAGTTTGGAGGTATCGCGGTTCCGGAAGCCAACACCATCAAGCTTCTTGGAGTGACATTTGACGCCAAGCTGTCATTCCGGGATCACTTGCACTCAATTGCGACACGTGGCTGCCAGAGACTGGGTGTTTTCCGTCGGGCTTGCCGGGTGTTAGATTACCATGGCCGGCTTTGTGCGTACAAGGGATTTGTGCGACCCATCCTTGAATATGCTCCCCTTGTGTGGATGGGAGCTGCATCCAGCCACCTCGCCCGACTCGACCGTGTGCAGAAACATGCAATGGCCATTATTGGCCCTGGTGCCCTTCTCCAAAGCCTGTGCCACCGCCGGATTGTATCTGGGCTGGTATACCTGTACAAGCTCCAGTGCATCCCAGGACCACCCCAGCTCACCGCCATGATCCCCCCTCCAGCCAACCATGTAGAAGCTCGGCGCACCCGGAGTCAACCCCCTCCTGGCCAGCAGCACCATGTGCAGCTGCAGCAAGTCCTGGACAGGAGAGCACCTGCCTATGCTTCTCGCTCCTTCCCGCTTTCTGTAGTCTCAGTATGGAACAGCTTGCCAAGCGAAATTGTAAGGGCTCCACTCAGCTTGAAGCGGCTCCACACTTTCAAAGAAGATGTCCATAAGTACCTCACGCACCAACACTGGCTGATGGCTACCGACTTCTACGGATGAACTCTTGATTGTGGCACGGGTCATGTTCCTTGGTTCGGCTATGCTGATGATATTGGGCTTCATTTACCTTTTATTATTAGTTTGTTTTGTTTGTTATGATTTCTTGGTTTTCCACCCGGTTTAGTTATAATTTAAAATATTATTTGGTGCAGCTTTAGCACTATGTGGTTTATGATTTCCCTTTTTCTTAATTTCGTATTTAGCGCTTTTGGGCGTCATTATTTTCTTCTCATTATTTCGCACCAAGTTATTATTTCTGTCGCACCGGGTATTCTCTAGCTTCTGTTTGTTTTGCAGTTGTTCTTGTGCAACCCCCCCCCCCCCACCCATTTTTCGATGCCTAGTTGCAACGCTGACGCCGAGACCACTAGTCGGTTGAGTTGCTCCCTGCACATCAGCACGTCGTCCCTACATCCCCTATGTTTTGTCCTTTTCCTCGTTTCTTTTTGTTCTCCACCTGTTTTCCAGTAGGGCTGTGTCAATAGTTTAAAAAATAAAATAAAATAAACTCGTCGTCGTCCGCGACATCGACAGCCAAGCTGTGGCAGACGCTGCTACCACTTGAGCGTTGCGCTGAATCTGTCGATCTTTCCGCGAGGCGCTTCTTGCAAACCTTGCAGAGGCGCCCAGTCTTCCTGCAGTGGCGGCATTCATATGCCTTGAAGGGACATTCACTTGCGCCGTGTGCCGTCGAGCCACAGCGGAAGCAGGTTGAATAGTTCGTACGGGATTGACCCGAGTTCGCGGACTTCGCACCTCCGAACGATGGTCTGCCAGCATGACGATGTTGCGATGTGCCCAGAACGTGTACACCAGCAGCAGTGGCACTGCCCGCGAGCTCGGATGCATCGCGAGTGGCTACCTCCAGGCTGTTGGCTTTCTCGATGGCGGTCTTCAGAGTGAGGTCCTTCTCTGCAAACAGGATTACTTTGCAGAGAGCTTGACTCCTGATACCACACACGAAACGATCCCGCAGCATGGTATCCAGGACATCGCCAAACTCACAGAATCGTGCCAACGGTCGGAGCTCCGCGAGGTAGGCATTTACTGACTCTCCTTGGCGTTGATACCGCTTGTGGAAACGGTATCGTTCCGCGATCACCAAGGGCTTCGGAGCACAATGCGCAGCCAGCGCGTCGGACAGCTCCTTCAACGTCTTGTCCTTCGGTTTGTCCGGGCTGACCAGGTCAGCCAACAGTTTGCAGGTCAAGCCACCAATCAGGGTCAGGAAGTTGGCTACTTGCCTGTCTTCGGCCACATTGTTGGCAGCGAAGTACTGCTCGACGCGGTCATAGTACGTAGACCAATCCGTCGTTCCAACCGAAAATGGTTTCATGGCTCCAATTGCAACGGCCATCTTCGTCGCCAGATGTTGTGTCTCTAACCAAGAGACCGTGGGTTCACACGTAGAGTTTACATACAAGCTTATTCTACGGTTGCAAAGCAATAAGAAGCGTTGAGGTATGATTGTGCTAGAGGATATAGAAGTAAGTTGTATCTCGGGTGCGGGATGCGTTGGGTGTTGGGTGGCAGTACAATGAATTGCTATAGAGAGTTCATGTCTAAGCGGTTGTGGTTTTTGGGTGGATCAATAGTACTTGCAATTAGATGAATATATGTCTGGTACATACACTACAGTGGTGATATCTCCTCTGGAGCTACATGTATAGTGATATTTCAATATATTCACCGTCGTGTTCATCAACATGGACATACAGTCAACTTCGCCAATAATGACTGCGGATATAACGACAATTTGCGAATAACGACAGAATTGCCATGCCCAGAGCAAAGTCCCATCTAACTGTAATACATAATAATGAGACTTCGGGTATAAGGACACTTCGCGAATAAGGACACTTTTCTGATGCCCCGCCGAGTGTCGTTATACGCAAAGTTGACTGTACATGTATTTCTGGAAATACAACCCTGTTGTTGGTGTGCATGCAAGAACTATAACTAGGGATATCACCGTATTTTTTCTTTCGTAGTAAACCAGGAAAACTGTTTGTTTTCGGGAAGAACTACAGTACAGGATATAGCACAGAAAATTTGGATGAAAAATCTTGAAGGATACCAGAGATATGAGGCGTCAAAGTCTTACGCCAACCTTCATCATGATGCATGCGGAATGCCATACTGCTGTGGCACCAACAGGGTTTTCCGGAAAGCCTAGCAAACGCTTAGCAACATTACAATGTTGTCAGAATGCTATGAAATCTGGCTTGTAGGTGCAATATAGGTGCAATACAGGTTGGTTAGTCCTAATGTTGACCAAAATATAATATTTCGGCAAGCGATGACCAATGAGAACGAGCGCGGCGCACGTAGCAACCACCATAGCAACAATGCTAAATCCATTGAACACGAGTTCCATTACTATGAAATTGAAGTGAGCACTGATGGCTATGGTCGTATATACATGTGCAAAGTAATAAATACAGCAGTTTGGTCTTCAGATGCCCAACTTTACTGCGGCAGTCACACAGTTGATCAATCATGTACATGTACATGTACATTTTACATGTAAAATGCACAATAGTGAAATACGCGTACAATCCAATCACTGACGCGATCCATGTCAGAGCACCACTCCATAGCAAATTCTTTCTTGTTTCAAGGCGACGAGTCGAATACAAAATCATAGCTCACGTTGTCCCAATGGCGAAAGTCTCCGTCAGGTGCAATCTTTCACTTGGGCCAACAAATCATCTGAAACACTCCTAGCGGTTGAACATATTGGGTCAAGAAATTCATTCATTTTGGGCGACCAGGAGGTGAAAGTCTTGAAAGCGCGATGAAGAGCGATCCCCCAGCTCGAGAAGAAAGCACTATTCTACATAATTCGAGGTCGCTGAACACGATGGTGGGTGTTTCCTGGCCGTGTACTCCCTCCAAACGGATGAAAAATCCAATTGAAAACTACACTCCTCACAACAAAAAGCTCAAACTACAGTTGCCCAAGCAAGTGCGGCACCAAAACGAGCAGGAAGACCTCAGCTATCAAACGCACCAACTTTCAACTTTGAAAAGAACTTCTCTCTCTCTGAGCAGGACAAAGTAATTGGAAAAAAACTGCAGCGAAGTCCATGGTGCCACCGCTACCATACTAATGTACGTGATCCGAGTGAAGACTGTTTTCAGCTGATTTGTCACGTGACTGAACTCCCTACTATAACGGTTATACTTCGAAGTAGAGCATATGCATATGGACCATCTATCTCTGTGTGTCAAGAGGTACTTCGAAGTACAATAGAAGCGACCAACACATTGTACGAGTATCTCTTTTTGACACTCACACCGATATTAGATAACGGGTACGTTGAGAGCGTATTTGGTACGGGTTTGTAATGCGAAATGTGGTGTTGTACTGTGCATGTCTGTGCTTCGCAAGACTCTTCACATAATATGGTACACAGGAACGAGCACACATGTATACCACCTAAACATTGCAAAGTGCATGCATCCTAGCCATTCAAAAACACACATCCATAACTGAAGCTGGTTCCATAAACCGTAAAATTTCAGGGCACGCTGTCACGTAAAAAGGAATGCACCTGAGTTGCTGCAAGTTCTTGCGCAGCCAAGGAAGCACCGCACGTCAGTCACATCACACTGCTATTTGGTCAGTAGCCAGGAAGGATACAGCAGTCATAACACTAGGCATTACATGGTGACACTTACGCGAGGACACTGCAAACGGAGGATTTAAGTGGCCATTGATGATATCATCGGCATCCTTGAAAGGATTTTCAAAGAAGACAAGCGTGAAGAGAGTGACACCTAAGGTCCACATCTCAAGCTCAGGCCCACGGTACCTGAGTAAAAGAAGAAAAGGAGGAACCAATGACAAGGGGGGTTATTACATGTTTCTACTTGCAGACAACACAGACAACTGACTATTACTCCTGCAGTGTAATGCATGGGTCCATGCACACCAGTATCACAATGTCACATAGCTAAGTTAAAACTTGTAGTTGACAACAGAAATGACCGATGAAATACGGAACAGAAATTCACTTAACCGTGAGGTTTGCACACAAAGTTGACACTTCAGTTTTTGCTCTATTTCGGTCATGTGTTTCTGAATCTTCTAAGCAAATTTCGCCACTTCAGTTGAACCCAGATTGTCAAGATCTTACGATGTTCATTGTGCACAACCTCACTGTATCATCTGATCCATATGCACCTACAGTTGGGTGGGGTAGATCGATGGTACTACTTCGAAGTAAAAATCCATGAAGCGAGTCAGTAGCTTTTCGTTATAACGGAACCTCACAAGCTATTGGATCATGCCCCCCAAAAAAGAGAACATACAATGTACATTGAATGTTGGAATCTCTGGTCAATCTTGGTACATGTACATGCATGAACAATCATATTTGGTCGGATTTCAAGGGGCTTAGAATTGTCTCAGACAATTCACAATACCAAGTCTTACTTGTTTCCGGAGAGAACCTCTGGCGAGCAGTACTCAATGGTCCCGCAGAACGAGTCAAACAGCGTGCCTTCTTTCATAAAGGCTGCCGAGCCAAAGTCAATAAGCTTCACCCTGAAGTCTTGATCAATGATGATGTTCTCATCCTTAGAACACGAACAACAGACACGAGGAGCCAGGACAGAACTGTTTAGCGAAACGGACCTTTCCATTTGAAATCAGGGGTTCTCATCATTCCATCGCCTACTGTCATGCTCGATGGTTTCCACCGGCGCAAGAATTCAGCCCAGGAACAGTACGGGCAATCAGAAAGCGACTCAGCACAAGGTCTGTAACTGTGGCACAATCCTAGGTGAATGAGACCATTATAAACAAGGTGAACACTGCTGTAATAGCTATCCCCTGGATTAGTATTCTAAACTTTAAAGTGGAATTTACCATGATTTACAGGATTCTTGCGATCTGATGTGTAACACGATGCATTTTTAAACACAAAAGAGCAACGCGACTTGCAAAATGCCAATGGGAGAAGTCAGCAAAGCGAAGTTGCCGTGATGATTTTCCCAAGGCGCAATGCAGGGGCGTACAACATCTCGGCTTTCATGTAGCTTGGTACGACTTGTAAAAAATCTACCAGAAGCTCCTGAACCTAACATACAGCTTTTGCAGCAAAAGAAGCTCCGCACTGCACACCAAACCGTGAAAGCTGAGCCAAACTCAACTTCTGCGATTGGCCAGATGCAGTCAGTGGTTGTGTGGCTGCAAAGTGGGTGCAATTAGGACCTCCTACGCAGCACTGGAAGGTAGGAAATTACAAGACAAGTTGACACGACTGCATGACTTACTTTAATATCACGGTGTATGATTTGTTTGTGATGGAGGTAATCTATGGCATTCACAACCTACAGATGAACACAGCAAAGAAGGAAGGTGCAAGACCGAAACCAATATACACCCATACATACAAACATACGGAGATGGTGCTGACATGCATGATTCAGAGTACAAACGTCCCGACAAAAATGTGCATGTTGCTGTCTCACAAAAAAAAGCTCACCTGTGAGAATATATGGAACGCGAGGGGCTCATCGACGGCTGGTTCATAATCAATGAATTCAAAGAGGTCCATTCCCCTGCCATGCTTAGCCATAACCAGTTGATAGTAGAGGTCGTTTTCAAAAACGTCAACAAGCTGAGGACACACATACATAATCACAACAACAACAACAACAACAACAACAACAACAACAACAACAACAACAACAACAACAACAACAACAACAACAACAACAACAACAACAACAACAACAACAACAACAACAGCAACAGCAGCAGCAACACAACAACAACAACAACAACAACAACAACAACGACGACGACGACGACGACGACAACAACAACAACAACAACAACAACAACAACAACAACAACAACAACAACAACAACAACAACAACAACAACAACAACAACAAAGACAACAACAACAACAACAACAACAACAACAACAACAACAACAACAACAACAACAACAACAACAACAACAACAACAACAACAACAACAACAACAACAACAAAAACAACAATACAGAAAAACAATGTTATGAGCCACTCTAGAAACAGCTCAAACAGCACATTCATACAAGCAAGAGTACATAACCCCCAAGAGTGTGCAACTGCCTGCACAACCTCTATGCAGTGCTGCGACGGCAGAACTTCACATCACGTGACATGGTTCAAAAGGTTACACTGGCAAACAGTGCAAAGTGACCAGAAGGGAGTTGTACCCAAAGCTGGGTTGCATGCAACCCTGTATCAATCATGCACAGAGTGCAAATAATGTATACGGGTTCATCACGTGATGTAATAGGGGATTCACACTCACGGGGAAACCTGAGGTCGCGGGACAAGGTAAAAGTTCAGACCTTCGCTCAACGGTGTGCCCGTGGTCAGTTTTCCCTTGGCCGCATGCTTGGCCATGAATTTGTGGCGGGGCAATTAAAAAAATAATCTGTACTGCATTTTTGTAGTATGTTCTGTACTGTGTTTTGCATTCGCCATGCACGATTTCCCGATGGGCACTGTCTGAAAATGCAGGTTGCGATGCACACGTACAACTACGGGTTCAGTATTCTCGCCAAAAACAAGATCTACGCACGCGCGTCGTATAGCCATGGTTTTTTCCCTTGACAAACGCCCTGAGGCTCACGGCCACGGCTTTGCCAATTTTTTCCCGAGAGGTTCTTCCTTTCCCCCGGTACCATAGTTTCCATAACAACGTTCCCACAACCATGGTTTTACCCGTGTGTGTGTGTGAATCCCCTATACAGTTCTGAGGTTCTTGCCTATGCTGACAAAGGCGTAAATTGTAGCCACAACAAACAAAACAAAAGAACAGCCAGGCCTTCTGTACCTTAGCCAGACTCACAAAATGTGCAGCAGAATGGAATTCTTCAGTTAACAAACGTACACGTAGCATTGGTCAGACGTATATAACTACAACCTATTGCCCCCCAGCTACAGACATACATTGACAATATTGGGGTGATCCAGTGTCCGCAGGAGATAAAGCTCTGTTGGAACGGAGTTGGAGAAGTTCTCCAATTTCGAATTGATTGATTGCTGTGTAGCAATATTCAACTGCTTTCTCTGCTCTGGTGTTACTTCTGTCCAGCTGCATGACAAGACTTCTCTCTTCCCGATGCACTTGACAATCACCTACACAGGGTTGAGGAACACAGCGAGGAAGTGAGAGTGAGAGAGAGAGAGAGTGAGAGTGAGAGAGAGAGAGAGAGAGAGAGAGAGAGAGAGAGAGAGAGAGAGAGAGAGAGGGGTATGAGTACAATCAGGAAGCACCGGCATGCTGTGCTTCCATCATTCCCTCGCAACAACCATGACCATTACGCTGGAAGGCAGGCGCACTGGAGACAGAACATCATGTTCGGAAGCCTCCTTTTCTGGAACAGAGGTCAAATGTATGAGAAAGCACTGAGCACATGTCGGGCACATCCCTGACTGAAACCGAATGAAAGTACCCAACATCTTATCAGGGGGGCTAATTTCTGTGTAGATGAGCGGACCCTCTCTCTGAACTAAACAATAGCAAACACGAAATACATAGCAACACTTTCTATGTTGAATAGCATCAGGTTGATTGTGATCAGATTACATGTACTGTATCTTCAAGATGATGGTGGATCAATTTAAGACATCTCACCTTTTCTCGTGTTGTCTTGTGACGCGCTAGTTTAACATCGCCAAACGCACCGCTGCCAACTGTCTTCAGAGTTTTATACATGTCAGTATATGGACCTTCAAAGGCCTCTTCAGAGCTGTTGGGCTGCATAGTAAAGAAGAAGAACAAAATAAAAAGAGAATGGGCAATTGAAGAGTTGATAAGCAACCGTTGAAATTCCATGTCAAAACACTTCCTTTATACTAAATCAGGCAGTACAGCTGTTGCCATGGATTCAGAAAAGTCTAAAGGACTTTCACGTGGGGTCCGTGGTTCAAAAACAGGACACCCTCTGAACAGAAGCAGCAGGTACAGTAACAATAGCAACACTTCTACCGATGAATCAATGATAACAACAATGTCTACTTGTATAGTACGGGGCCAGAGCTGCAATGAGGCAAGCACAACCAACCTGAGAATCCTTTCCACTGTCATCGGTGTCGCTGACACAAGACCTAATACTAGTAGATGGAGATGGCTGCTCGTTCACACCATAATCTCGCTTCACCCACAGGCAAAGGAGCGATGTGTCGTTATTAAAAAGGATGTGTTTGACGTGAATGCTGACTTCAATACTGAAGTCATCTTTGTGGATCGCGCTTGTGTTCAAAGACATCCCGGCCAGGCAAGAGGACTGCAAACAAACACAAAACAGCAATATAGAAGTCCTGACAAGACAAGACAATCACCTAAATTCATCGAACACTCCCCACACCACCACACTGCATTCTAGCTATCCACGCAGCTGCCACCATACCCAGGAAGCTACTGAAGAATGAATGATCACGAGCAGGATTATGCAAGACAAACTTCAGCACGCAACAGAAAAGGGACAAAAGCCAGCTTCAGATATACGTAGAAGACCTGGTGGCTGACAGTCAGTTTTGTTCACTTCGCTGCATGCGTTTGGCTATCAGTGTCGTACTACTACCGCAGAGTACCCTTGATCTGCCCTCTCTGTAATTTTAGCACCCTACAGCATTTCTACCTGTAAAGCGACTTCAGCATACACGTCAAAATACGGCGTTGAACCGATGCATGCACAGCTGTACATAACACGTGCCGATGCAGGTATATGCGTCTCTTGTAGTGGGAGCGCCGCCCCCCCCCCCCCCCCCACCTGGATTTTACATCCAGAGAAAGGAAAATTGCATGGCAGAGTGCAAGCAAGTTTGTCCAGTGTGAGAACCTTAGCGTACTGAGGTCACATTTAGCATAATCTTGTGTGGAGCTCCAAGGTAAACCACTGTGAACTGAGCATTGAGGATCGACTTGCACAGCATGCAATGTGTGTACAAGGTACGTGTCGTATGCCCTACAGACAGAACACCACATCCACAGCACGTTCACGAAAGGACGAATTGGTGGGGCCCTCTGCTGTACTTTACAGTACTACGAGCGACTGAGTACTGCACTATGTAGTACTTTTTCAAGGCCACACCGTGTCTTTGGGCCAAGCTGACTTGACTTACCCGTGAGCCATGCTCTGAGAAACTGCTAATGAGAGAGTTTGAATCGGCGCCGCAACCCACATCCGACTTGATATCGCCAGAGTTGAGTGTACGCTCGCCAGACCTGGCAGTAGGCGTGACATTGCCCCGCACATGCTTTGCTCGCTTCTTCCCTGTTTGTCCCGGGGTAGAGCGTCCCATTAGCTCTGGAGTTGGAGATCTTGTCCAGCACAGTTCCGTGGTGGCATCCAGTGACTTCTGCTGTGACAGAAAGATCTCACTGCGTTGCTCATCAGGATCACTCTGTTCAGACCGCTCAGGAGAACTCCCACTCCCACTCCCTAAAACAATGAAGTCAGAAAGGAAATATAATTATACCGAAAAAACACCAATGACTTAGAAAGGACAGCACAGAAGGAGCATGTATAGACTGCAGCCACAACTTCATTCAGAAATATCAGGTACTAGCCAAATATTGGGCATCTCTTCAATCTCCAAACATGCCCAAGTGCGTTTTGCTTCCTGGACAAGGAATGCGCATTTCAGCTTAGTTTATTTCGTTAGGAACTTGTTGTTTCAAACTGACAAAGCACGTCTTTTCACAGCTCTCGAGGATTTTGATATCTCTATTATGCAGAGTATGAATAGCTTGTGGGCTGCATGAATGTCTTCAAACATTAGGGTGTTTGTTCACTCTAATCCCAGTTTGAGACTGTCCGTACGAGATTCTTGTGCAACTTCTCGTGTCTATGCTTTCGAAACACACCACCCAGTAGGCACATTCTGGAGTGATGGCCGGGACACACAGCTGGGTATGTTCAGAAAATAGTAGTTCAAAATACAGAATGGCACATAATTTACAGTACATGAAGCAGAAATCAGACCAGTCACAGGAGAAATTACCTCCTTCCAGGATGATACCAAGATCATTGGGTACTGTTTGAAATTGGCCGCCAGCTGACGAAGGTCCACTGGAGCTTGAATGAGAACACCGTCCACCTGTGCTACATGTACTGTTCATCCGGCTTGACAAATGATACGGCATGGTGTTGAACCTCAGACGCTGTAACCCCGCTGAACGCACCTCGTTCATCATGCCAGGTATAAGCTCGTCGATGGTCTGCGAGTAAAGCAGTAAAACAAAGCCACAGAAGCAGAGCCACATTATGATAGGGATACAGGAACTGGGGCTAACAACTGGCACAATAACCAAATGCATAAGATCGCACATTAGGTGCTCACCGGGATGCTTTTAAAAGTAGAAGTACATGTATGTATTGCAAAGTACATGTATGTATTGCAAGTACATGTATGTATTGCAAAGTACATGTATGTATTGCAAAGTACATGTATGTATTGCAAAGTACATGTATGTATTGCAAGTACATGTATGTATTGCAAAGTACATGTATGTATTGCAAGTACATGTATGTATTGCAAAGTACATGTATGTATTGCAAGTACATGTATGTATTGCAAGTACATGTATGTATTGCAAGTACATGTATGTATTGCAAGTACATGTATGTATTGCAAGTACATGTATGTATTGCAAGTACATGTATGTATTGCAAGTACATGTATGTATTGCAAGTACATGTATGTATTGCAAGTACATGTATGTATTGCAAGTACATGTATGTATTGCAAGTACATGTATGTATTGCAAGTACATGTATGTATTGCAAGTACATGTATGTATTGCAAGTACATGTATGTATTGCAAGTACATGTATGTATTGCAAAAGGAAGTCGGAGGCTGATTACAATTTCCAAACGAATGTAGGTCCACAAGCATTCACTCAATTTTAAACATCCAGTCAAACAAAGCACTTCTGATAAGTTATCGAACGCTTTCGCTCCCTTCTGATCAAGGATAATACAGGGAATGGCTCAATTTGGAAAGACTAAAACTCAAAGGGTAAAGATCAAGAAAACAACACTCGTGACAAGGTGGTAATTTATCCAGTAGAAAAACACAAATTTCGAAATAAAATGAAAATAAAAAGTACATCCATTCTCTGGATTTCGGAGTCATCCCATACAGTTTCCGATATTCAGCTACTGTATATAGCTTCCTCGCAAAATCGTTTCGGACAGCAGTTATGCGGAAAGGCTACAAAAGAGGACGTACCTTTTCTCCCAGCTCATCGGCACTGTATCCAAATAGCGGCGCACAGAAAGATGCATCACAGGAGGAGATAGTACCATCTAGTCGAACAGTCAACAGCCCAGTGATATTGTGATAAAGGACTATAACACACTGGATGTCCGATTCAATTTCAAACACCTTGTGCTTGGATGGGAAGCTTGCTCCCTGAAACATCACACGGTCCTTCTCATTCGAAAAGCGCATCAGGACAGTGAGTGGCAGCGTTGTTCCATCTTGCAATTGCCCTGTGACATGTTGTTCTTTCAGATCCTGAAAAATAACACAGAATAATAGGAAGCATTATCAGAGCCTTCATTCAGTCGCACCAGAGAACAAGTTGGACTTGCATGTGAGACATACCGGTAGTCATGTTCAATACCAGGAACTGTACAGCAGAAGAACTTGCAAATAGAAGACAGCAGACAGATCGAACACAGACACTAACAGCTTGGCTAGCGTAAGGTCATAATAGCAGCAAGAGTACATAACCCCCAAGAGTGTGCACCTGCCTGCACAACCTCTATGCATTGCTGCCGCGACGGCAGAACTTCACATCACGCGACATGGTTCAAAAGGTTACACTGGGCCACTGGCAAACAGTGCAAAGTGACCACAAGAGAGTTGTACCCAAAGCTGGGTTGCGTACAACCCTAGGCCCTGTATCAATCATGCACAGAGTACAAACAATGTGTACGGGTTAATCACGTGATGTGAAGTTCTGCCGTCGCAGACCCCATAGCTGGCGTTGCACACTCTTGGGGGTTATGTGCTCTTGATAGCAGCAAAAGTACATAACCCCAAGAGTGTGCAACTCCAGCTATGGGGTCTGCGACGGCAGAACTTCACATCACGTGATGAACCCGTACACATTATTTGCACTCTGTGCATGTGCATGACAGATACTGGGTTGTACGCAGCCCAGCTTTGGGTACAACTCTCTTGTGGTCACTTTGCACTGTTTGCCAGCATAACCTTTTGAACCATGTCACGTGATGTGAAGTTCTGCCGTCGCAGCACAGCATAGAGGTTGTGCAGGCAGTTGCACACTCTTGGGGTTATGTACTCTTGATAGCAGGCATAGGGAGAAATTATAATGCTGCTCATTTCTATTGTATACATAATATAATCATACGACACTAGTACCGACACTCATGCTACACATGTGTGTTCCTTGCTGCCGTGTTGCACTCGCTAACTGCATGGTAATATTATAGTCATGTGATGTGAATTTAACTGTGCCACGAAGGAGACAGTAGGGAGGTTTAGTCCCACGTAATCCATGGGTACTTTACGTGTGTGTACCACGTGATACTCAGTGACCCAAGTACACGCGTTTTCTGATTCACGACATACCGTGTATGTAGGCTCACCCACGTTCCGCCAGAACGTGGGTGAAAATCAGAATGGAGCGCATTGTGCGAGCTGTGAGGGTGCTCAGCTGAAGAAGTTTCCGAAGGACGAAATCAAAATATTGGATAGGCGTCTTAGGCCCGGGTAGCTTCGTCTTTGACCAGGTTTGGGCCTTTCGCTTCATGCTTTTGTTTGTTCCGTGTGACTAAACACAACATTGCAACGTGGGTGCCCTTCATCCACTTTACGTGGATCACCCACGTACGCGTTTCCGTTACGTGGGAACTAAACCTCCCTAATAAAGCTACGCTGCGCATTGTGCTAAAGTCATGTCTGTAAATTAAGTGTAAAACTATCCTTCTACATGCAAGTACAGGCTGCATTCACTGCGTTCAACAAGAGCCTCCAGAGGTGCTCATCCATTTGCCATACCACCACAATCACTCTAAGGGCTGGGTTCCACTGCGGCTCCGCTGCTCTTCTTTCGCGGCTTGAAACGTCATCATTACCATAGTGACCGTGGCTCGAGCTGGAGCAGCGAGGCCGCGGCTCACCGCGAGGTTTTGCTACGATTCTTGATCAAAAACTGCGAGCCGTGGTCGCGGCTCGACCTGTTTCCCACACTTCGCATTGTTTTGTACGGGAGAATTTTAAAATTCAAATTTTAATTCGTTGCGCAGGCGAGAACACGAGGATTTTTTTGATTTCGCGCGCGCGCGCGCACGCGCGCGGAGGCAGGTAAAACGTCATCAAAAAATGTGGAGCACGACCGCGGTACCGCGAATGGCGAGTGTCAGTGGAACCGCGCTGCTCCGCTGCATGCAGCCAAGTGCCGCGGAGCAGCCGAGCAGCAGAGCCGCAGTGGAACCCTAGCACAGGTGGAGGAGACGATTGCGTACAGATTTATCCCTGCCATCACAGGCCACCAGATCAGTTAGGGGGGAGGGGGATGTGCATTGTCCTGGCACCCCATGTCATGTCACCATGACAGTCTTGGATCGGTCTGGGGAGTCCTGCCATTGTGGCAGATGCATGGGAGGGGATGACCACATGCAAAAGAAAGCAGAAGGAATAGATATTCTGCTGTAGTATGCTCTAGGGGTGAAACGAGTGCCAAAATTGGGGACTCGAGTACTCTTTGAAAAAACGAGCGAGTATTCGAGCGAGTACGAGTATTTTACTGACAACATAAAACAACGCACTGCATACACTCTCGCACCACTGAACGTAGTACAGTGGTCCCTCTATAATCCGGCACCATTTGTGCCACGGAAATCTGCTGGATTAGGGAGGGTGCTGGATTAACAAATCTGATCTACTGCTGCAATGTGCATGAAGAGGATATTTGGCTACTGAAAATTGTGCTGGTTTATAGAGGGTGCTGGTTTATAAAGTGCCGGATTAAAGAGGGACGACTGTACACCCGATACACATGTAGTCTTGCATGCAGCCTAGTGCAGGAAATAGTCGAACTACTGTCTTTTGCTGGTAAGTAGGGACAAGCAATAATTTCGCGCTTGCATGGACCATCAGTACCAGTCAGAGTAACAGAAATGCTCGATGTACATGCATACAATACACAATACATAGGATACTTCGAGTATTTTGCGAAACGAGCACTCGCTCGTTTCAAATTTTCGAGCGAGTGCTCGGGTATTCGATATACTCGTTTCACCCCTAGTATGCTCCGCCAAGCTGTCACACTAACCTGGGCCATCGATTCCGTTTTCCTTTCAGGAAGGACTAGTCTGGGCAATAGGTTGCATATTGAGCTGTCCAGTAAGTCACTTGGATTATCATGGAAGCCAAATATGGGTGCAAGCTCAGGATCTGCATCAATAACATCACCCTACAAGTGTTGAGCAAACAGACAAATACACACAGAACTCATCATTAGGCAAGTCTACCGTATTATTTTTATGGGGAACAGGGAGGGGGGGGGGGGAGGGAGGGCGTTTGTGTTTAGATCAATAGGTCTTGTTGGAAACTACTTCTGACCCTCCCTATACTATCCTATGTCTGCTCCCAGGCTCACAACCCAAATGTTCAGAGAACACAGAGGGAACAAGGGCTTATCATCACATTCTTCATAAAATCCAGAATAACCGGCAACCACTACATGGTCTGAGCCATTCTGTAAGCTTCGATCACCCCTGTAGCAGTGGTGTAAAACTGATACCATGGGCTAGAATACATAATCCGACAATTGATAGTTACACCAAAGAGTAAACAGTGGGTCAGCAACACGATCGTTTCAGCTCTAGTTTTTTCCCGGACAGAGTTCTGGCTGCTACTGAGAGCGATAAAGTGTGCCACAAGATTGAGACAAAAAGCAAGGAGAGTTTCCTCTACATAGCACCAGAGACAGATGAAGAATTCCTGCAGCAACATACCTTCATACTTAATGTCAATACTGCGGTTGTTCGTCCAACTTGCTCCATAATCGCAAGACAGTGGCTTGCCTTGCCTGTCTTAATTGGTTTCACCCACAAGGATGCTGGGAATGAGGTACCAGCTTTATCAACGGCAATGACCTAGATAACAGAATGATAAATCACATCAAACCTATCGGAAATTACCGCCTAGCGTTTACCTAGCAACTTTCAGCTTTGTCAGAAGAGGCTTCACTCCCGAAATCTGTAGTGTACAATTCTTAACAGCTATAAATTTAACCCTTGAGCCACGGCACATACTTGGTAGTTACACGGCTTTTGGTGCTACACATAGTATGCACATAGTCACTGAAAAACCGGGAAATACATGTACTAGCAAAAGAACGTAACCAGCACTGAGGAGGCACCGGTCGTAAGCCAGTTCTCGGTCAGCCCCGATTCCAAAGGAGATCACGTGCATACAGTTTGAGTACTGCTGTAGTACCAAATCTACTACAAAGTAGTACAGAATTAGCCCAAATACTACGAAGGGCTGCTAATTGGAGTTTGAATTCTATGTTTCTTCAGTTGTTCATGGCACAGTAGAGGACGATTCACAATACCACTTTTTGCGATGCAATACGCGACTTGCGACAGCTGCGACCAGAAAATGCCTGCCGCGAGCTGCCGCGTACAGTCACAAGGCACCTGTCGCAGAAGTTGAAGAAAGTTCAACTTTTGCGACGTACGATGCGCGACATACACAAATGGAGTACAGCTGCTACTCTGAGTGCACGTGCAGTGCACTTGCATAGTACATGCACTGCATCGGGATGTCACAAAAACCTAAAAGATAGTGCATCGTGTGTTGCGGTTGCCACTCATAGCAGGTATCACAAGTCGCATGTCATGTCGCAAAAAGTGGGATTATGAATGGGCCTTAAGGGTCTTTCAGTGATGGCTACTTGGTCATGCCTTTTACTGCAGATCCAGGGACTAGCCAAAGCAGGGTAGGCGCATAATGCCCCCCCCCCCCCCTCTGATTGAGTGCCCTCCTGTGACAAAGTGGGGTAAAGTCCGGGATTCTCCCCCTGTACGTTGAATCTTGCATGGCAAGACAATTTTGGAACATGGAAAAATGGGTTGGGGGGGGGGGGGGGGAATGGGTTACGGTGTAACTGCCCCCCCCCCCCCCAACCAACTTTGCCGGCTCTCGCCGTCGATTATTTACCGTATGATTGTGGTACGCATTGCACTGGTTCACATAAGCACAATGCACCGGGAGAGATTGCAAGAGGCCCACTGCCAGTGCCTCCCGCCGCGTACAGTGTACCGGCGATATGTGCACCAACCCTAATGTTCTCTGGGCACAGGGGACACCTAAAAATGTTGATTTGCATTGCGCAAACCGTAGTTAATCTACATGTCACAGAGCCGCATCTCCCGCATGGAGATGCTGTCCGCGGTCACGCCAAAACCGGCACAATCTCGTACGAGCTTCGCCGTAGTCGTACGCACTGCCGGGCTCCAGCGCGGGGGGCCTACGTCCGCACGCGCAACCGCGATGCGCGTAGTTAATCTACATGTCACAGAGCCGCATCTCCCGCATGGAGATGCTGTCCGCGGTCACGCCAAAACCGGCACAATCTCGTACGAGCTTCGCCGTAGTCGTACGCACTGTCGGGCTCCAGCGCGGGGGCCTACGTCCGCACGCGCAACTGCGATGCGCGTACGGCATGCCGTATAAGCCACCTATCCGCCTGGGGTCCAAGCTCACCCAAGGCCACCCTTCAAGGTAGGAACAAGTAAAGACATTCGCCAGTTTGTTGTACCTGCCCGCCGCAGAAATTGTTTCTTCTAAGCTTCCGTACTCAGTGATAGTCTAGCATCCGCCATGGCTTTCTCGCAGGCACAAAGGGACTCTATCCAGTAGATAGTAGCAGCCAGCGTGGCAGCAGCCCTCAGCGGCGAGGCACGGGAGAACACCACGGAGCAAGAAGCTGACGGAACGTGTGCTGACGAATTCATGCACCATACGCACATGGGTTACCCCTCTTGCATATCCCATGTCTCGTTGGAGACAGTCGATCGGATAAGACGAATTGAGTACATAGATCTGGCAATGCTGCTTCCGCCCAAACACATTTCTTCCTGGGAGCCAGCCCCTAAGAGGTTCCGAATCGATGATGGAGGTGCACTTTTGGTGAAAAGCACACCGAAAGGAAAATAGAGAACCTTGCCACTTGGATCGAGGCATGGTCTATTTTTAGCCTGATAACCATCCGCGATCATCCTCGCTGCGCCGCTGCACTAATGCAGCATCAAATCCGTATGGTTCACGCAGCCAGGAAATGCCGCTTCTCGGCAGTTGTTGACTACGGCATGCGGGCACGCCAGGCCCTCCCCACTTGCAACACTTGCAAGAAGGTGAGACATTTGGCCGGATCATGCACACTTGGCCGGATCATGCACCTCTGCCTTTCGCGACAAACAGGCGAAAGAGAGCACGGGTACAAAATTCACCGAAATCTGCTGCCGCTATAATCACGGCGCCTGCAGCGGCCACCTCGTTGGCCATCTGGCGTTCGCTGTCAAGGTCGTCCCAGCCGGTCGCACGTTCACTCGCCGCCTCATTGACCTGTGTTCCTCGGTCACCAGCCCTGCCGCGGTCGTACGCCTCACCAGCGAGGCTCTCGCTCACATCAGATGGTGGCAGGATTTCCTCCAACTATGGAATGAAAAAAAGCCCTTCTACACGATGCCGCATGGTCAAAGTCCCCGGACCTGGAACCATTCACCGACGTGTCCGGCAGTGGTTTCGGCGGCTTCTACCAAGGTCGTTGGTTCGCCGGCACATGGCCAGTGGCGCAGCAGGCCCCGCCATACACGTCCATAATGTGGAAAGAGACGTGGCCCATCGCCATTGCCTGCCAACTCTGGGGCCCCCACTGGGCACAGAAGAAGATCCTCTTGCACTGCAACAACTCATCAGTATGCACTGCCTGGGAGTCCGGCACATGCCGACACGCCGGGGTTATGGCACTGAAACGCAGCCATGCAACTCACCGCTCGCCACAACTTATGCCTGCTCATTTGTCACATCGCCGGCGTTGACAACAGCATCGCAGACGCACTCTGCCGGGCCCAGTTCCAGTGCTTCCGCCGTCTGGTTCCCGACGCGGAGACTGCCCCATCATCACTCGCAAGTGCCCAATCCGACAATGGATAGTCACATCCGTCTGCAGTTGAATGGGCGCTTCAGCCGCCAATTCAAGTTCCTTGAAATCCCAGCCACCGCTCCGCGGGCTCGCCGTACGTGCGTAGCCCCCCCCCCCCCTAGCCCAGCATGTTTGCCCTTTTCTTGTTGTTTTGTTTCCCCTGCTCTCGGGTCATATTTGCATTAGCCCCACGGGGTGAGGGCAAACCTCGGGCAACCAGATACAGGAACGCCCGGCCGAAGTCAAGGGAGAGATCTCCCACTAGCATAACCCACAGGGTCCCTGCTTACAACCCGGTAAAACCGCAGCCACGCATGCCGGGCTGAAAGGGAACTATGGTGTTCGAATACTTATGATAACATTGTGTATGCATTTACAATTATTATTCACGATTTGCTAGAGTTACTTACGTGGTTTGTTATATTCTTGCTCAGCGAAGTCTCTCTGCAGAAAACTCTACGATGTGTCACTATCTGACAGGGTTTACTGTCACCCCGTATCGGGTGCAAGCACCCACTGACAGATCAAACACTTTTCTTTCCTCATCTTTGATCTTTCTGTCTTCGTCCTGCTCACTACTGTTTGTCGTTCGAATTTCTGATTTATTTATTTATTTTGCTTCTGCATGTCTGCATTTGTTTTGCACCATGTTTTCCATGGATACGCGGGCTGTGCGCAGCAGCGCACCTTTCTGGGGAGACTGGTATCGTTTTAGGTTGCGTCCCGCTACCCTTATTTGTTGCGTGTAGTACGCTGGTCTCGTTTGTGCTGCACTTGTACGCGCACGTTTTGCCAGGGACAGCGGTTTTGCATTCGCTCTTCTTGGCGCAGCCAGTTCTCTCTCGCTTCTCTCTCATTTTCTCTCTCCTTTCAACCATGCATAATTTGTTCCTTATCTGAAAAGGCTGTGATCTTTTGTGTGACGGTGTGCACGGGGTGCATGACTGAGTGCCTGGGAAGGTTTAGATAACAGGGCCGTGTTCAGAGAAGCTGGCCACCACTTTGCGACCCGGCGTAACATGCATACACCGCAGTAGGGGTCAAAGGGGTGTTCCGGGTGCCCGGGGACCCCCCCCCCCAGAAATCTCCGGTATCGCTAGTAAAAGCAAGAGTACATGAAAACCAGAGAGTGCAGCTTGGGGCCTTTTCTACTATGGGTGTCTGTCACGGCGGAATTCCGTGATTACATCATATTTTGCGCAGATCTGAGGCGGGATATGGCGTAGTGCGTACAACTGAGCTGCAGTTATGCAGAAAGCGACCTGCTTGAATCCTGCTTGTACGCACTACATCACTAAAATGATGTAATCACGGAATTCCGCCGTGACAGCAACCCATCCGAGCTGCACACTCTGGTTTTCATGTACTCTTGGTAAAAGGGTACCCGTTTGGATGTCGATGATCTAGTCAGTACGGAACAACACTGCTGGGATCGTGCGTTCCAGGCGAGAGTTAATTATTTACAACTCCACGCTGGATGTCTGCATTGCTGTTGCATTTTCGCACCTAGTAGATCTACCTCTGCAAGTATCAGACAGAAATCAATTTGCGAATCATGTGATATCAAAATGCAACCTGAGAACAAATGAATTAAAAATGACCGCAGCTTAGCCGCTATGCCGGCCATTTAGGGAACGTGCGCGTGTGCGGGCGTATGCATGTGTGTGTTTGTGTCGCATGCGCTTGTGTCTGTGTCCTCCTAGGCTCGCTAGCCGCCGATCTCTCAGCGCAAGCAGAGCACCTGATTGCCAACTTGGTAGCCACTGGCACGCAGCGCAAGTACGCCCCAGGATGCAATGCATTCCTGGAGTTCATGGGTTGCATGTGCCGCGGCGTACATCACCCAGATCAGAACGACGTCCTGCTGTTCGCTGCCGCAATGTCGCACACAGCCAGCGCCAGCACTCTGAGAGTCTACCTGGCCGCGGTCAAATACCACCTCCTCCGCATGGGAGGCCCGGTCGGGGTTACATCCTCAAACCGCATCACGGCCCTGCTGAAGGGCTTAGAGAGGGAGAGAGTGCCACTTCCCAGGCATCCGTCGGCACGCCCTCAGCGCCAAGCGATCACCGTCCACCAGCTTAAGGCTCTCCGCCACCTCTTGGATCTGTCCTTGTACTCCCGGCAGACAGACTAGTGCTACGGGCTGCTCTGACGACAGCCTTCCACGGTCTACTGCGTGTCAGTGAGTACATGTCGCCGTCACCACACGGTCCCGACGGCCTCAAGACGCTGAGGCGCGAACATCTGCGACTAGCCCAGCAGGAGGCCTCTCTGCAGCTCCAGAGGACGAAGACGTCTCAACTAACAACAGGCGGGGAGGTAGCGCTGCACCGCTATGCCGACCCCGCGCTATGTCCCGTCCGAGCCCTGCAGGCTTACGTTCAGTCCAGCACATGGAGCAACGACAAGCAACCCCTCTTCAAGTTTCGGGACGGTCGCCGTCTCACGTCGAACAACATCAATGCTGTCCTACACAAAGTGCTAGGTCCAAGCATCAGCAGCCATTCCTTACGCGCCAAAGGAGCCACACACATGGCGGATCGAGGCGCCCCTGAGTATGCCCTGATGGCAGCAGGCCGCTGGTGCAACTGGGCATACCGCACGTACACAGCACTACTAGAGCCTGCGTGTCGCAAGCCACTTGGTACCTTTGTTGGAGGCACGGGTGCTGCCGATGGAAAGCCGCATAGTGCACGCACATCGGCACCATTGAACTATTCATGTGTACTAAGATTTAGTGTTCCGCTGCCATAGCAACCTAGTAGTACACACAGCCATTCGGACGGCGCACGGTCCTGTGGGTCGCTTCTGCTGTCCTTGCCTCTCTGATGCGTGATATGTGTACAATCATAATAATTATGACCTCATACTGAGTACATGTACGTCATACTTGACTACCGATCGCAGGCTCATGATTATTCATGCTTGAATAGCGCTTGCGACACCCCACGGGCTCGTCTCTCTTGTGTGGCATGAAGGTTAGTACGTAGTATGCGAGGCCGGCTCTAGCTCTGTCAGGACATGCTGAAGAGTCCATCTTACATGAGTTGTACGTCCTGTCAGGGCACGCCGTACCCGTACACATTTGTACACTAGTACCGTAAAGTCCGGAGCAAACGCCCACCCCATTTTTGCAAGATCTGCTGGCCTATACGCACTGACCCCATGCACTTTCACCCCTACTGTACGAAAGTGCATCTCACACCGTAGCGCGAGGAACGCTTTGCTACGGTAAATTAGGCCAAGTAAAAAAAAAAGCTAGATGATCGTCCCCGTCCGCCCCAGTTTTTGTCAGCGCCCCAAGAAATATTTTATTTTTTAAATCGTGAGTTTTACTATATGGACCACATACTACTAGTATATCACAACGTCAGTATCGATCTGCTGAAGAAAGAAAAAGAAAAAAAGAAAAAAAAAGAAAAAAAGAGAAAAAAACCTTGATGTTGTTGTGTACACTGTGTGCATGAGAGGGTAAAAAGTAAAAAAATAAAAATAAAATCCTCCCGCCCTCCCCGATTTTTCCAAAAAAAAGGACGATCATCTAGTAATTTTTTTTACTCGGCCTTATGTCCATTTTCCAGGTTTCAAAATGTGTTTGGGCACTAGTTACGAGCTAGCTCCTAGTGATTTTATGATGTTGGTTGTTTTATTTCGCAAATCCAAACGGGAGTTACTTCGGAATAACCAGGTAGCGAAGAACAGGCTATTGCAGGAACGAAATACACTTCTGACGGTGTTTCAAGCCATCATTTCCAAATCACGCAAACCGCAATGGCAAGGGTTTTTCTCGAGCACTTCAGAGTTTTCAACAAGTTAGCAGCGACTTTGTAGGTGTAGCTTCTGTGACATCCCCCCTGTTTGACTTGCAACTGCAATACTGCGACCTGTCAAGTCGCTGAATGACGCTTCGTCAGAACAATCACCGTTCCATTCTGAAAGCGCGACATCTTGGCACTGCAGAAATTTCATGATTTGAAAACCAGATGGATTCTACGGCATTATTTCATGGAGAACGAACAAATAACAAAGATGACTCATTCATCGTATGAAAGGAAATCTCGACCGAAGTTTTTTTCTTTGCAGCAAGATATGACAATCGCTTTTGCAGAGCCTCTTGGTAAGACATAGCCAGTTTGTAGGCATTAAAGTCGTTCTCGTACGCATTCGACCCTCATGCCAGTTTTCTACAACAATACTGACCTGAAAAAGACGAAAATAGTATGGACCCGCTGGGGTGGGCGTTTGCAGCGAAGTGGGCATTTGCAGCGGACTTTACGGTATGCGCTTATGGTGGGAAAATCGGTGCGCCGACTAGCGACTACTAACCAGGGGACACGTTTGGTTGGTACAACGTAGAACAGGATTCATCAGAACAGTGTGCTTGGTTGGGACTGCACCTGTTCTGGATCGTTCAGAACATGTTCTGCTAGCTCCGGCCTCGAGGCAGGAGCAGCCAGAGAAGTTTTACTTTTCTCAGTGAAACCAAGCGGGAACATCGATTTTGGTCCAAAGTGATCACGTACATACGATTTTGGGTTGTACTTGGCATGCACTCGTCGTACCGCACAAAGTGACCATGGTGACTCGTACACATTTTCATGAATGCAACCACGTTAGGCGCACTTTTCACATAAATGCACTGTGTTTCTGACTAAACTTTCTGGAGTACCGTTTGGTTAGCATGAGACTGCGCCATATGCACCAGCTGTTGGATCCTGTTCTAGATCGTACCAACCAAACACGCCACCGGTGTATGTCTTACCCGGGTACGCACTAAGTGAGTTCCACTGCACTGCCATGGTAACGCGACTACAATTATAATCATCTATATACAGGAGACAGTGCATGCAATGGAAACAACAGGAAAGCTTGTGACCTACCAATTGTTCTGGAACCATCAGTTGTTCGCCATCCGATCCGCAGTGCTCTTCAAGTAAGCTCATAGTACCCAGGTAGTTGTCAGAGTGTAGCAATTCTTCAAAATGTAGTCCTTCGAATTCTGTTCGTGAGTATCCAAACACAGCGCTAGCTACGCTGTTGGCGACCAGAACAGCTGACGTGTCCATATCAATAGTCAGTAACATTTTGTTGGGGTTCTTGACAGTCATTGATGCTTCAGTACTGCCATAGTCAATGTAATGGCTAAGCTCATACACCTCTGAAGTGCACAGTGGAGACCCGCAATGGGATGCTGTGAACTTATTCCCCAGTCCGCTATGGTTTCCCTGGGTGCGCAAAGAATCAACGGACGTCCTCGATGACTTGGACAGCGTACGGCTGCGGCTTCTGGTGTTACTGTCTGACGAAGCCAAGTGACAAGATTGAATTGCATCCTCTATTCGCAGCACCGCTGGATCATCCACAGGTAGGGAGCTTGGTCCGACTGTACCATCCTCGCGACTCTGTGACGAGCTTCCCAACTCAGCGAGCTCATTGAAGTTGATTTGCTTCACCACCAAATTGTCATGCAGCTGTTGATTTTTCTTCCGGCAGTGCTCGATATGTACAGCATACGAGGGAGAACTCTTACGTTCGTGACCTGCACGAGTTGAGTTCCTGGTAGCTCTCTTTTGGGCTGCAAGCGCAGCAATAGAATCGGAAGCATTGGTTATGACGCCCTGCAAAGGAGAACAGACATGAGAGAAAGATGCGATGTGGTCGCTGCACTTCTACACAAATTGTGCAAATTGACGGCTGACCATCGTGTAAATATCCCCTAGCAGCAAAATTTCTGGACTACATCATTTTAATGATGCAGTGGGTACACGTACAAGCAGGATTCTAGCTGGTCTCTTGCTGCACAACTTCAGCTCAGTCGCACGCACTATGTCATTCCCCGCTGCATGATAGAATCAAATATGAAATAATCCAGGGATTTCGCTGTGACAGATACCCACAGACATCCATGCAAAAAAAGTCAGAAGCTGCACACTCTGGGCTTCATGCACACTTAGTTTCACCAAGGCAGTCCACCTGCTGGTAGCTCGGTCGGTAGGTTTGGTGGCTTTGGGTTTTGGACGAGTTCAGGAGCATTGAACCTCAAGTAGTGTATGCTTGAAACTGCTGGTCAGCAGTTCATATACGAAGTAGGACTAGCAGGGCCTTAGTATCCACTACTGATGTCTTCTGGCTTACTGTGCGACTCCGATCAACAACGTGCATACTGGCACAGAGCTTTAAATTTACATGTCCTGCAAAGAACACGAGGACTACAGTGGAACCACGACACCAAACCAGCCAATTCTGCTCGGTCCTGTTTCCTTCCTTAGCTCTCATCTGATGTAGGTGGGGGGGGGGGGGGGGGAAGAGGATTCATTCAGAAGAAAATGTTTCCGCACCACCGAACTCCAACCCTGGCCCTAAAATTAAGGAATGCAGTGCACTATGTTCTACCAAGAGTACATAACCACCAAGAGTGTGCAACTCCAGCTATATACAGGGTCTGCACCAGCTAGGCCTAGACAGATCCTGCCGGCAATTCTTTCGGCAAAATATCGAAGAATTGAAAGAGCGGAAATTGCCGGCAAAATCGGAGCAAAATATCGAGATGTTGGGTAAAATTGATGTCTGATACTTGGATTTCCTTGGTTCAGCAGGATACACTGCCCAGGACGAGATCATGTCACCGAAATATCACTGGGATTCACTGTGGATCCACATGATTTTGGAAGAACTCAGGGACACGTGCGTGGAAATCCGTGTTGAGAAACTGACCCTGCGATTTTATGAAACGTTGTACGGGAATTGGATAAAATACACGTTTTTCCGGAGCAAAATGGAGCAAAATATCGAGATTCTTGTGCCAGGCTCGGCAAAATATCGAAGATTTCACAGCAACATTTTGCGGCAAAATATCGAGGCGAGCGGAGCAGAATCTGTCTGGGCCTAGCACCAGCAGAACTTCACATCACGTGACAAACTCGTTATTATTATTATTATTATTTATTATTATAGGCTTTTCCGCGTTGGCATCGCTAAGCAAGCTTGGCTAGCCTTCGCATAAGCTGCTCCATAATGATGAGATGAAACAATGAATGCATGTATATACGATCTAGGACAGAACCAAGGTTGAGGATATTTTTGAAGAAAGCTGCAAGTTGTGTTGAGGAACACAAAGTTGCAAACTCTACGAAAGTAAACTGCAAGAAATGTTTTGGGGTTGATCTCATGATTATTGTAGTCACAGGTTGTGTTAGTAGTATTAAAGGTTGTGTTTTCACAGGTATATTGCTTACATTCCTATTCTTTTACAGAATTATTTTCACAAAATATGTTAGTCAATGAGTTATGTTATGGTACACCATACGGCCATGTTCGTACACATTTTATTGCACCCTAGGCCCTGCATGACAGATAACCATAAGAGGCTTGTACACAACCCTGCTTTGGGTTCAAATATCTTGTGGTCATTTGGCACTATTTGGCCAGCGTAACCTATTGAGTATTGTTGATGTTACCACAGAATGGCAGAGATAGCATTGAATGGAGATCGATATGAAACTCCTTGGTCCTCTATTATACTCTGAAGATACGTAGATACGGAAATTTCCAAAGCCAACAGTGATTTCCATTTCCTGGAGGCGGCATTCCTTCCAATTCAAGATGTGCATGTTAAAATGCCTCCTCGTCTTGCCGATTCTTCTGCACAATTGTGGACAGTGGATTCTGTCCACTGCTACTGCAAATTGTCTACCCACAGCGGATTATATCCTGTACTCGAACAACCAAACAGTCCCCAGTGAATGCCATATGTCGGCGGTGCAGGCTGCTGTGGTTTGGCCACATGGTGCAGAGGAGCCAGAATCTAGCTTATATCAAGCCTTGGGGCTAGCCATCAACACGTCTGATGTAGAATACGGTGGATAGACACGGTTCGGCATGATGTTAGGGTAGCAGATCTCTCTGTGGAGAATGCTCTCCAGGTTGTGGAGGACGGATTAAGTGGGCTCGGCATTATTGACAGATGCGTCAATCCTGGGCTTATCTGACAGGCTCAATGAGATGCCAACTGAGTGTATTGTCATTATTATTATTATTATTATTATTATCAAGAGCATAATATAAGCCCCCAAGAGTGTGCAACTCCTGACACCCTTTCTATGGGGTTCGCCGACGGCGAAAACTCACATCACGTTGTGTAGCGCCGCAGTTATATGTTTCCAGCCCGTTTTTAGCGTGCAGCGGAGTAATAAAAAAAGCACTCTCTGACAGAAACTCACTGCACATCTGCAAATCCCCAGCATGATCATGGCAGATATTCGGATTGCGCGCACGCTATTCTTCGTTTGTACATAGTACGAAACGTACCTGAGACACGTGATGTGAGTTTTCCCTGATACGCAGAGTTGCACACTCTTGGGGGGTTATATACTCTTGTTATTATTATCAGGACAAAGACATTGCCATGTCTAAGACAGAACACAGCGTCAGGCCACAATGCCACAGTCCAAAGCTAGGTACTACCTGAGCGTGTATTCAAAACAAAGCATTTAAAACTCACCTGGGATTTTTCAGTCATGATAGTGTTTGGTTGGGAGCACTGTCTAGATAGCAAATTTTCCAATGATTTTCGCTTGACAAAATGCCTTCGATAGGTCTTCAGATAGATAAGCCCGTCCGCATCCAGGAGCATGGAGTGTTTCTTCGTCTATCCATTTCATACATACACACACCTAACATCTACACTAAAATTGTAGTTTTGTATGTCAAGACAATTTCAATGTACTGCCTGAAACTACTTTCGTACGACAACCATAAGAGCTGGCTACACATTACGACAGTACGGTTCTAACTTAGTACATGTATTCAAAAGAAAGTGGACTGGCATGGCTATTGTAGAATACGACGAGTACTGACAATTGAGTTTCGACTTTCATAGCTGGAGTTGAAAGAGTCGGCTATGGACCTTGAACGCAGGTGCCGGTGCCACAGAGCTTGCAAAGATCCGTGCGCATCCGTATCCGGTCCCTCGCTTTGAGGTCAAAAGAACAGCCATTTCTATCTACTACTAGTACCGTACATACAGTATAAAGAGTCCATAACCAGGGAGTCGTCAAATACCGGTATTTGAGTCGTCAAATACCGGTATTTGACGACTTCCTGCCATAACTAAATAGGCATACCGGTTAAACTTCATAAAGCATAACCCAGATTAATTAATCCCCGCCCGGCGCCCCCCCCCCCTCCCCCCCGGCCGGCCGGACTCTTGTTCTATGATAATGTGTCACGGCCGCGCGTCGCGCGGGTTTGTGACTTGGCTTACAAATAAAATTTATTGTAATTATCATTTAAGAACCCCCGCGGCGCCCCGACACAAGCGTATATCACAAAAGGTCATTTTTTCTTTGTTACTGACCGGTTTCATCTTTTTGGTAAAGAATCATCAGAGTGAAAGGAGAAAAGAAAATACATGCTATTACAGTATTAGTAGGGCCAACTCACTTGGCCAAAACTAACTATGATACAAGTGGACCCATCAAAGCCGCTGGGAGCCCAAAGAGGCGCAGGGGTAGGGGTAATTGGATTATGATCATGAAAGCATGCAAATGTGAAAGGTGCCGTGTTTGGACACAGTAGAGGATATAACCCGAGTCAGAGGGTTACTCCGGCTGAATATAAATCCCGACTGCGATAGCAGGAGGGATTTATATGAGGGTACGGTATAACCCGACTACGCGGGTCATATCGGTACGCTTTCCAACGGCCAAAGAGAGTTGGAAAGCTTGTGTCTTTGTACGTATGTAATCAAGCACGCTCAGGAGGTCATGGCTGAATCTTGCCCGAGCCTGCAGCCCGGCGCCCAAGGGCCGTAGGCCCGAGGGCTGCAGGCAAGGGCAAGATTCAGCCTTCTTACATTATTATTATTTATATAATAATATTATTAAATTTTTGATAGGGCAATCCCCACAGGCCTAAGGCCTTCTTACAGGGTACCCTAAATGTGCCAATACAAGGTAACGGAAGCGAAAAACAGATGTGCAAAGGCGAATGTCAGCAGGTAAAGAGTTCCAACGATCTGAGCCTAGAAAACTAAGAGAAAAAAGACCATACCGATTTAAAGCAGCGGGAAGAGTAAGGGCTTTAGAAACTTGAGAGCGTGTGCGCGAGTTTGTGTGTGACGATCAGGGAGTCGTACTCAAACTAGGGAGGTGACACGGGTGCGAGTCAACCCCTGTGACACCAAGAGTAGATAAACTGTTTATCTACTCTTGGTGACACGGATTTCTGTGCCGTGTCACCTCCCTAGTTTGAGTACGACTCCCTGGTGACGATGCACTGCGCAACGAAAAACAACTAGAGAGTAGGGGGCTTGCTAGATCATTTAGTGAACGAAAAATAAGAACAAAAAGTCTGAGCTGATACCGAGCGGCCAGTGGGAGTAAATGGTTGCGTTTTTGTAGTGCACTGATGCTGTTGAAGCGAGTGAGGTTGAACACCGTGCGCAAGGCACGTCTACTCAAGCGAATCAGGCGCTCATATTGACCCTCACGAAGGCAGTGAGCAAACGCATTCGACCCATACTCGAGAACTGATTGGATGGACGATATGTAGAATGTTTTCTTGGCGTGCTCCGTGAGTTGGTGTCGTATCTTCCTGAACACAGCAATCTTGTTTCCAATCTTGCGCTCAAGGTGGGCGATGTGGGCACCAAAAGTAAGGTGTTCATCCAAAACGATTCCAAGATACTTCACTTCAGGCAAAGGGGCAATAGAATGACTTGCACAAAGATCCGAGCCACGAGTGAGACGGGGCAAGTGCACCCTGTGCACCCAGGCTACACTGCGGGCACCCTACACTACAGGCTACACCGTCTGTAGTATATATGTACTTTTTTTGTCAGCGTGAATGAACGGTGCACGGCATGTACATGTACATGTACATGATCAGTACCGTCACTGACTTCAGCAGCTCACGAGTTATGTGCACTTGTAGGGTTAGTGGAAGTACATGACTGTATATTATGTGAAGAGAAGCCAGGCGTCCAAACCAACCCAAAATACTCTTGCCATATTTTTCGGTGAAATAGTTATTAAAAAAATTGTCTTACTAAACAACAGTGAGCATAGAAGCAACCTCGATGCACCCAATAATATGGCATCCGGGAACAGCAAGTGTTGCACGAGGATCCCAAGAACACGTCAAGTTCCATGCTACCCGCCGCCATCAAAAGAACCAAGGATAACTGTGCTAGCCTAGTTCATATTCAATGTAACGCTATCGGTACGGGATATAGGAGCCTGTTGGGAAGGCGTGGGTGAGCTGTTAAAATCTTGTACGGTTCGCACAGCTCAACATACATGCAGCAGTTATTGCAACGGTTAACGTCGATGGACGAGAGTCATAAAGCACAGTCCATGGGGGTTGACGTTTCTGGGCTTCCTTTCCGAAAGGAAATTTTTATTTCTTCTCTAATAAAGCAGAATCATACTGATTATACCAGTCTGTTATGAAGACAAGAAAGCAGCCATGGACATTGTGCCACACTAAAGGAACGACAGGTAAAAGATAAAGCACTTCATCTGAAAACTCAAGAACTATCCATAAATACAGCAAATGATAATCCTAGCCTGGTAATGTCCAACTCCGTCATGTGAGCCATTCGGTGGGAAGCATAATGTTCGAAATGCTGAAATTTGAACAGTTGCAGTTGTGTTCGTTTTCAGATTCAACTCTTCCATCGCTTCCTGATCTGTACAGTAGTGCGGTTGCGTTCCCGTTCCTGACACTCACATCCGTCTCTGCTAACCAGCATCATGAGCACTCCAATGGTTCCCGCCGCTCCTTCCGTATCGTCCCAGCGCGCCCCGTCAAGATGTGAATTACTGTAGGCAACGGAGCCAGTGTATGATGAAGGCGAATGCACTGTTTGATGATGCTCCAACAAATCCTTTCACCGTTGTACGGAATTTGTAAGAAGAGTAGTGGCTCAACTGTAGGTCCAACGCAGAAGGTACCTCACAGCGCAGTTATGTTACGTCCACAATAATGAACATACTTAGCAGACTGTGATGTGTATCAGACACACTCTGGCATTATTTGTTCCACATTCTCCCAGGAGGAGATGAAATGTAGTTCAATCATGTCTTTAGTACATGAGGTACCGTTGCCTCGTTGCAACTAAACAGGTATGGAAGTTACTTTCCCATGAGACCCAGCCGGAGCCGCATCGTCGTCATTACCAGTTAATCATGAAGAGGTATAATGTGACTTTCCACCACTCCCTGATCATAGTTTGCGAGCCTGCGCCAAACTGCTTTCTCACTAGAGCCAGGCATCGGATACATATGGCTGCAGTAAGGTTTACAATGCTATGTCTCTGGCCTAGATCCAAGTCTAGATACAGCTGCTCAGAGTAAGGGCTGATGAAATGTTCATATCGGAACAAGTGAGACTTCAACAGTAGCTAGTACACATCAGGCCTGAGGACTTCGCAGCGTTTCTCCAGCACACTTGTTCTCTCCTTCAACTCAGATGCTACTTGAAGTACTACTAAAGGCCATCTGGCTCTCATACTCAGTCCTTCCACCCTTCATTTTCATGGTTTAGGCTTCCACTCGTCACTCGGCAGGTTTCTGGCCTCTCCGCAGTCTGTCCTCAGGAGAGGGTCGCTCTGGAGCTAGTGCAGCCGATTGAAAGGGAATCGAGTTCTTTCTCAGACGTCCACAAACTTTCGTTGTGCTTCACTTCGCTTCCACTGCGGGAAAGTAGTCACACTTCAGGACCACGACGTGCTTGTTGCAGCCTACACCAATGATACTAAAATAATAGCGTTATTCCCTCATTTTTCTGCCTCCCGCCCGGCCGGCTCGGAAAGGAACGTATGGAATGGGAGCCTCAGTTCCATCTCTCGTCTGCTAGTTCATTCAGGAGCGCAGCAGCGCTTCGGCATGACGATACAAGTCGAATCCAAACAACTCTACTCTCTAGCCAAAAAAACTAGCTCAGTGTTCGTCAGGCAAAAAGCGAAACTAACTTCGAAAGTCACGAACTCAAAAGGTGGGGAAGTGCAGAGTCAGAAGGTCCACTTGCCCCGTCTCGAACCCAGACAATCTTTGTGCAAGTCATCTATTGAGGTTGAATTGTTCAGTTGAAGGCTGACGTCAGGGGTCAAAGGTGTGGACTTCGACCTGAAGATTATGAACTGAGTCTTGTCCGGATTGACTCATTGAGGCAGAGACCTCGTGCAGCCAGGAAATCACGAACAATGGTAATATCCTCAGCGAGATCGAGTGTGAGTTGGTTTAGGTCCTTGCCAGCTTTGTAGAGGGAAACATCGTCTGCGAATTGCCGTGCCTTGCACTTTTGCAGTGCTTCGTTGCAGAGGGAAGATTACGAACTGATATAAAGAGGGCCCAAGGACAGAGCCTTGCGGCACACCTCTGTTTCCTGCGTATGTGTCTCCCTGAGCTGTCTTCGTGACGACACGCTGTTCCCGGTTCTGTAGGTACGTAAGGAACCATTGCAAAGCTGTACCTCCCACGCCAATGTCTGTCAATTCTTGTAGGAGCATGCTATGGTTTACCGAGTCAAATGCCTTGGACATGTCCAGGAATGCAGCAACAACAAAATGTCCTTGATCAAGGGATGTGTGCCAGTCGTTCACTACACACGCCAGTAGGTCTTCACAGGAGTGGTGCTTGCGGTACGCAAATTGCTCCGGAGGGAGTAGTGGTGTCTCAGTCGGAGCAGTGTAGATGTGATCCATGAGTTGTTCATGTGCCAGTGTCTCCATAAGCTTAGCCATCTGGGGCAACAGTGATATCGGCCTGTAGTTGGTAGCAATGGACTTGTCACCTCTCTTGTAAATGGGACGTACATGCGCAAATTTGTAACATTCGGGGAACTCACCAGTGGAGAGAGAGGACGAGAAGAGCCGTGCAAGTGGTTCTGAT